TTTTTTTTTTTTTTTCAAAACGATAGAAAATTTGTTTATATATCTCTTTTATACATATTTGAAAAATGTGTGCCTTCTTGATGCTGTCACCTGGCGTTTGTGAATTTACCAAATCGTTCCATTCTTTTATTCCTTTTTCCACGCCCAACGACAACGTTTTAAATTTAGTTTCTTAAGGCTATGTTTGTTAGGTCGAAAGAGACCTAGATAAATATTATCATAACCAAGATTGTCTTGTAGAGATAGCGGAATATGAATGCTATAGTTTGTTGTATAAAATTGACCAAAGATAAGTTGATAGGATTCTTTTCGATCTCCCTATTTGAACATAATTAGCTTGGAAACATGCTTGTAAAATCAAAAGAATTAATACAAAATATTGAGTTCCAAAGTAGAAAAAAACAATTAAAAAAAAAGTAGAAAAAGCTAATTATTGATTTCTTTGATCTCCTCATTTCCGGTTTTTTTGCTCGTCTTGTGCGTGTTCTTAGCCTTTTCATAGAAGTTCAAAACTCTTCAAAAACGTTCCCTAATATTTTATTAAATTGTTGTGGTCGAGTCCTAGTCGAAATAAGTTGAAACATTGTAAAAAGTAGGAAAAAAGCGTGAACTCGTGCCTAGACCCACAAGACTCGTGTGTAATATTAAACAAGCCACACGACCAGGGGCGGATCCTAATAAGGACCAGTGTGGGCCTAGGCCCACACTGGAAAAAAATTGCTACCTTATATATTCTACTCAAAAATAATTTAATTCTCAATTAATAAAATAAATAAATATAAATAAATAAAAACAATGGGAACACAAAGAAGGGGAAAAAAAGAATGGGAAAAAAACATTGTTCTTGTTTATTTTGGTGAAAGTGAATCTAGTCTTTTTTTATTAGATTTGATATAAAAATTAAAAATTTAAACTTGTAGTTAATTTAATGTTGTTTCTTAAAAAACAAACATATTTAAATTTGCGTGTGAGTGATGTACGACTTTTAGAAGTTTGATATATTAGATAATACATTTTATACATTATGATTTATTTTTTCTATTCATTTTTGGAGAAATATTCTTATACATAGTCTTGACAAAAAAGTACATGTGAAAATAATTCAAAATTAGCCACTTTTATTCCAAATATACTTGAGGAGAATCATAATATTATTAGTCCGAAAAAAAGATGTAAAAACCTTATTGTAGAGTCGTACCAAGCTATGAAAACTCATAAGTCTTTCTATTAATGTCTATTTTGTATTTATACTTTATTATGGGGTATTATAT